TGATAATAATAAAAACGGTAATGATGATCTCAGTGTGACTTTGTAGTTTGGATTAGGGAAGGTGACGTACGCATCAGAGATGTAGACCACTGATTTGACTCTGAGGTTCCTGGTTGCTCATGGAAAATGGGAAAAGATTAGGAACATGATTTCCAACATTCAGAATATAGACAAGCGTTTTAGTAAATAATACTTCACTTGACCTAGAAGCAGCAACAGTAGTATACTTGTAGATCCACAGGTCTGGGATCAGGGAATCCCAGGAAAGGCAAAGTTTGTCACTCCTGTAAAAATAACTTTAAAGGAAACTAATAACTTCCCTTCCAGGCGCCAATATCACATAAAACCAGAGGCTCAACGAGGCCTCCAACCCCTAATCTCAAAATTCATTAAATATGGGCTTTTGGTGCCATGCCAATCCCCCTGTAATACTCCAGTCCTACCTGTCCTCAAACCAAATGGGAATACAGAATGGTCCAAGATCTTCGAATCATAAATGAAGCTGTAATTCCTCTCCATCCTATTGTCTCCAACCCATACACAATCCTCACTCAGATCCCTGAGGACACAGCCTGGTTTACAGTCCTAGATCTTAAAGATGCCTTCTTTTGCATACCCATTCACCCTGATTTCCAATGTCTTTTTGCTTTTGAGCGGACTGATCCAAACACTAATGAAACCCAACAATATACCTGGACTGTCCTTCCTCAGGGATTCCGGGATAGCCCACACCTGTTTGGCAATGCCTTAGCAAAGGAACTAAGGGAACTCAAATTGGAGATGGGGGCATTATTACAATATGTCGATGACCTCCTTATCTGCAGCCCCTCAAAGGAAGCTTCAGACCAAAACACTATACAGGTCCTCAACTTCCTAGGTCACAGGGGATTTAAAGTATCCCCACAAAAAGCCCAAATTTCCTCCCAGAAGGTTACCTACCTGGGACGTGTTTTAAGTCCAGGAAGGCGTGCCCTTACGACCCAGCGCAAAGAGGCAATCCTCCACTTACAGCCACCACACACAGAAAAACAGCTTAGAACCTTCTTAGGAATGGCTGGGTTTTGTAGAATCTGGATCCCAGGGTTTGGTCTCATGGCAAAACCATTATATGAAGCCTTAAAGGGACCAGACATAGAGCCTCTAGAGTGGACTGGAAATTTACAAAGAGCATCTGATCAGATTAAGACTGCCCTGACTAGCGCCCCAGCCCTGGGGATTCCAGATCTAAACAAGCCCTTTACTCTGTTTACCTCAGAAAGAGAGGGAATAGCCCTGGGAGTTCTCACCCAAAAAGGAGGGCCAATTCCTAGGCCAGTGGCATATCTCTCCAAGCAACTGGACCCAGTGGCCTCAGGATGGCCAGGCTGTCTGGGAGCTGTAGCAGCCACAGCCCTGCTAGTCGAAGAGGCCACAAAACTCACCGTGGGCCAGCCTCTTTACACATCATCCTGCACTCCTAACCACACACATGTATGCTATGACAATTCACAAACTAATGCTAATAAAACTTCTTGTGCTAGTTATTAGATCAGATATCCCCTTACTATGACCACCCCCCCGACTATGGACCCCCTCCTGGATACTCCAAACCAAAAACAAAATTCAAAATACAGATGGGACCCCTCCGTAACTGTCTCCCACCTCCCAAAACTTTTCTCCAGCTGTATAACCAAACCAATCACACAGTTTTACCAGCACCACCTGGATTATTATGGCTATGTGGAACCTCAGAGAGCTACCTCACAATGACCACATTGCTCTCTCACATCTAGACAACACACTTCACTATGGGGACTGCACCTTGGGAACTGTGGCTCCAACCCAAATAACTGTCCTCAATGTGATTCATGTGAGACAAAAAGGGCCTTTGAACTAGTACTAGCGGGAATTATAGGGATGCTAGCTGCAGCTGCCCCTTGGGGAGGATTTGCCTACCATGAGACGACCCTGAGGGATCTAACCTCCTCCCTGGATAGTGCACTAAAGAAAACCAGAGACACTCTAACACTCTTACAAAAGTCCCTTGATTCTCTGGCAGGGGTAGTCTTTGACAATCGCTGAGCCCTAGACTATCTATTAGCAAGCGAAGGAGGGGTTTATGCAGTCATAAACAAAACATGCTGCACATACATTAATGTCTCAGGAGAAGTAGAAGTAAATGTTAAAGAAATTTATGAACAGGCTTCCTGGCCCTACAGGTACAATCAAGGAAAACAGGAATGGACTGAGACACTTAAGGGATGGTTTCCAGGATATACCTGGCTTCTTCCATTTCTAGGCCCCATAGCCACCATATTTCTCATCTTTCTCTTTGGTCCTTGTATTTTTAACCACCTAGTAAAATTTGTATCCTCTAGAATATAACAACTTCATCTTCAAATGATGATGTGACAAGGATTCCAACCCATCCCACCTAAAGATAAAGACCATCAACATCCACTGGACAAGGCCTCTGCCTCCTTCTACTCCCCACTCTCCATCCCTGCCACTACTAACAACCCCAAGACCCCTATCTCTGACAGCAAGGAGATCTAGCCCCACAGGTAGGAACTATGTCCATGTTCAGCTAGAAGCAGTTACAGAAGACTGACCATCGTCCCTTTTCCCCTTGAAAGATTTTAAGGGTCCAGACTCCTTGAGGGGAAAATGTCAGAGCAGGCAGATAGCTAGATATGAGCAGAGAAAGGGGGACACAGACCAAATGGCAGGAATTGGGCAGAAAGGAGGGGCACAGGCCAAAAGCAGGAAACCACACATCATGTAAGCAGCAGAGATCCTTGGGCAGAGAAAGAAAAGCAGGAACCTTGGGGCTGATAAGGGATCATGCCTTTTGGGGTGACAAGTGGCCTGGAGAAGAACAACGAAAGGTGAAAAAAGGCAGGAATTTCTAGTGTCCGAATGTAACCTTTTGCTCATTATTTCCTCATTTCAATAAAATTAGCCTTGCAGATCAGAAGTACCCATCACGCACCGACGCAATGACACTTCTGATCCAGACTAAATAAGGACAAAAATCCCTCCTCCCTTTGGGAAGGTGGAGCTGGGATGATAATCAGGGAATACGACCCCAAACCCTTCCCTCCCCAATGAATATTCTGCCCATTCATTTTTACACCCTATGTAGCTAACTTGCCAAAGAAACTCAGGGCAGCCGCTCACCTGAGCCTGCCTGCTCTCCCCTGAGAG